TATATATATATATATATATATATATATATATATATATATATATATATTAACAGGTAAAAGCTCTAGGACTAGGAAAAAAAAAGTATTTTTACTTAGTATGGATTTTAAAATGTTAGTAAAAATTTCTTTCTTAAAGATCAGGTAGTTTGGGATATATTTTAAAACACAATTGACTGAATTGAAGACACAATCAATTTGTTTCAGACATGTAACAGATCATATATATGCTAACTTTTCCCATCAGGAAAAACAATTTGTAAAGAATCCACTGAGGGTATTTGCTTTAGGATATTCCAATCAGTTTTATAATCACTGCACACTTCATTCTGTACCAGCTACAATGCCAAATACATCTTAATGTAACAATCAAAAATAGGAAGTATATTAGGCATCACTTTATTCATTACAAATAGCATTGAGTAGCTACTGGGTTTACCTAGAAGCTACCTTGGTATGAGTTGACACTATACTGACAAATATTACAAAACTTTCTAAAGGCTACTATTAACTGGAGTTTTGAAATATTTTTCAAATGAGGCAGGTTTTGTGTTTGCTGGATGTTCAATATTTTTATTTAGAAGGATATTACAGAATAAAAGGCCATACATCACAAAAATAGCAAAATACAACACACAAAATTCTGAATGGAGTTCGGATATGTTTTAGTGTTTAACTCTGTAAGATATCATATTTTGCAACTTTCTATTCTATTCTACATGGCAATGTTATACATGCCAAGTTAAAATAATGTTAACAGTAAACTGGTCTAAAGCCATCTGAACAGAAAGAAACCAGAGTCACAAACATGCTGCAGCCTATCATGGTACATATATAGAAAGATGCATCTTCTTGACATTTCATAATCACAGCTATGAGAATTAGAGAAGTTAGTCCAAGTTAAAAAATAAAAAATAAAACAAAACAAAACCATGCATAATTAACACTCAATGTGACACAGGCTAATAGCCAAAACAGGGAAATCGTATTTCCAATACTAATGCTTTTCAGAATCTGTCTAGCTTAAGAAGGACCTACACAAATATTATGTTTTAATGAGAAATGTTTTTAAATTGTAGAAAAAGGTAGTAACATGTTCTTTAAAAGCAACAATTTCAGCTCCTCACACCAAAAGCATCAAAGAATTAAAATTACAGTCTGATCTTCCAAGGTCTAATCTCTGTCAAATGCTGTATAACAGCAACTCAAGCTCAATCAGCACATAAACTGAAAACTGCATTCATCTCACTTTTACAGCTCACAGAGCAACATGGACAATATTAAGAAACAAGCTATATCTGGAACTGTAAAGTATAAGGTATGAAGCACAGGAAAAGTAATTAAAGTACAAGTGATGGCTTAAGAGCACATATAAGGATCCTGCTTCTGTGTAATTAAAGAACTTGCTGTAAGCTTATGAATTATAAATGCAAAACAAAACACAATACAAAACTTCTACTGGTTCCTCAAGAGATTTTTATCAAAAGAAATACAAGCTTGTATAACAATGTACTGCAACCAACAGTTAAGTTTGTTTCCAAATGGCTGACTAAGCAAAGTAGGCTGCTACTGACTGCTGCAACACAAAAATGAATACATAAGATAGTCTAATATAGCACACAATATTACACCAAAGTGTTGTTTTTTTATTTTTTTCATTTCAAGTTTATTAAAACTTTAGCAGTACAAATTATCCAGGTCAGATTATCAAAAGATCAACTCAATGAAGTCCACATTTAAAAAAAAAAAGGGGGGATAATGGGGAAAGACAAACATAAAACAACCCAAAACAATGAAAACAACAAAAAGGAGATTCAACAGTAAGTCTTGAGAACTTAAAATTTGAGACAGGAAGGAAATAAATGTATATAACTCACTCATCCGCTTTTGTCCTCATCTGTTCCGGGGCTTGATTCATGATCACACTTTTTATTTTTGTCATGTACATGGTCATTTTCTTGACCCTTTGATTTTTGGTTTTCTTTTTCCACTGGAGATCTGGTCTTCTCGTCCTCCTGAATTTTTAATGTGGAGGACTTCAATTCATTGTCCTGACTGCTTTGTTTTGTTTTTGACACTGGACTTTGATCTCTATCAGCCTTTTTTTCCCTGTTATTATTTGAGCTATTATGATCACGATTTTTAGAGTACATTCTTTTCTCACCCTCAGAATTTTCTTTTCTGTGTGAACTCTTACTTTCTTGGCTTCTATACTTTTCTTTGTTTCTACTTTGACTTTCTTCTCTCTCTGAGCTCCGGGAATCCCTCCTTCTTCTCCTCCTATCTTTACTTCTCGATCGTCCCGGTGTTCTTCGATCCCGGCTTCGTGACCTTCCTCTTCTCCTATACTCCTGTTCTCTGTATCTATGATATTCCTTGCTTCTGCTGCGATCTCTGTCATGGCTTCTAGACCGTACTCTCCTGCTCCTGTCCCTACTTCTGCTTCTCTCCCTTGTTCTACTGTTGTAACTGTGTTTACTCTTAGTCAGATCACGCTCTCTACTCCTAGACTGTGCACGTCTATCCTTTTCTTTACTTTTGCTATGATCATGCTCATTACTTTTTGATTCTACCTGTTTAGAATTCTCTTTGCTTCTACTCCTTTCCTGATCTTTCCCTTTAGATTCCAACTGTTTTTCTTTTTCTTTAGTAGTCTCATGATCCCTTTCTTTACTTCTTGACCTCATCCTCTTGTCTTCATGTCTGTTATGCTTGGAATCTCTTTCCTTACTCTTGGATCTCTCTTTGCTCTTACTCCTACTTTTGGATTTGCCCCTTTTCTTCACTTTGTTTTTATTATATTTGTCATCTTTTTCAGAATTTCTTCTGATGTCTCTTTCTTTGCTTTCAGATTTTTGATCTTTAACTTTCTTTTCCTTTTCTATTTTTCTGTTTGGACTCTCAGACATGTGTCTGTGATCTGTTATTTTTTTCTCTTTTACTCTAACTGGGCTCCTTTGATTTTCTTTTATTTCATTTAACTCACTCCTAAAAAAGAAGAAAAAAATATTTGGAATATTATTAGGAAAAGAAAAGCATAATCATAAGCTAAAATGCTACTGTGTTTTCTGTAAGGTATACAGAAATAAACTGGTTCCTAATAAAATAACTGTGTACAATGTAAGAAAAATTAATTTTAAGTAACAATTAAATCTTACTTATCCCCTTTGATCCATCTTTCACCACTTGACACCCTCATTCTTTGAGCTCTCTGCATCTCTTGTCTCCAATGTGGAGGAGTCTCACTTCGTCTGAAACGATCCCTTGATCTGGATCTGGAAGGAGTTCGATAACGCTTAAGAAAATAAAAGGGGGAAAAAGACCATATAAAAATTTAAAAGCGATACCATAGCTACATACTTATTTCTAGGTTGAAATAAAATGAAAAGAGGTTTTTATGCTTTTTGAAATTGCTAAATTAGGAATGAGGTAAGAACATGTGCTTAGCATAAAGCAGGCTCCAGCTTTCAGGTAGAGTACAGGCAGGGAACCCTGCACTATGCCTTACTATAAATTCCAATTAAAGAACATTACCCACAGCACCTCAGGCTTTTCACATCTTGCTAGGAACAGTCCTGTTCAACTGGTACTACAATACTCTGTATATTAACTACTACAAATTCCAAGTTCTTATTTTAATGTCACGTATACATCACCTTCCAAGACAAATACCATGAGAAATAAACAGACAAAAGGCCTTTGTTCAACCAACATTTACTCAGTTCTTTAAATGGTTAATCACTTTACTGAAGAAATAGCAGTGAGCCAAGATATAGCAGATTTTGATCTCTTAGAACCTAACATTCTAAGGTTAGAGGAACAAATGAATGGATAATCACATTAAACAAAATAGAATGATTATAGAAGGAGAAATGGTGTCAGAGACTCGGAAATTTTGAATAGGAATGTGATTAGGTAAACTAAAAGCTGAAAATGAAAGAATGTTTATGGTAAGTAAGCAAAGATGAAGCAAAATATGGAAGACAAGAAATTTTCTATACTGAAAGTTCTGGGACAGAAACAAACAGCATTATTTTAGAAATGATCATAAGACAGGTCAAATATGGCTAAAGCTAAAAATTCCAAGAAAAACTACATCATACTGATGAAGCAAACAAGATTTTGTAAAAGCTCAGTCTGTGCCTAATATTTTTTTAAAACTCTAAAGTCAATACTACAGGAATAACATAATCTGACTTGCCCAATGCACCAAGTACTAGAAGTCGAACCTAAGGCCTTCTGCATACTAGGCAAATAACTCTACAACTGAAGCTGCATCTCCAGCCCAGAATTGCACTTTTCATTGACTACTCTGACTATGGTAAAATACATTATATGCCTTTTTTGCTTCTGTACTTTATGATCATATGGTAGAATCATTCAGATACTATAAAAACTGCTTTTTGATGTACTACTTTTATAACTACATATTTGTATTTCTTAGTTTTAATTTATAAAAGAATCAATATTGATAAATATAACTCACATGAACAGAAGCTCAGTACAGTCTGCTATCATTGAGGGTTTAAGTGTAAATCAGAACTGACAGATTAAAAAAAAAAAAAAAAAACAAAACTCGGGGGCTGGAAAGATGGCTCAAAGGTTAAGAGCACTGTCTGCTCTTCCAGAGGTCCTGAGTTCAATTCCCAGCAACCACATGGTGGCTCACAACCACCTATAATGTGATCTAATGTCCTCTTCTGGCATGCAGGTGTACATGCAGGCAGAATATCATGTACATAATAAAATAAATAAATCTTTAAAAAAAAAAAAAACAACTCTACCAAATACAAGTTTGGAAGCCATTCATATTTCAGACAGTTCTGAGTAAAGCTTTAAACAGATACATTTGATAGTGGGGAGACAAATGACAGGAGTTGAATAAGTTGTTTAAAATTGAAAGAGAATAAAAACGATTCTTGGCCTTAGGGGAAATAGGTTCATAGGTGGTAAGCAGGAGTCAATATGAGTAACAGCCTAAAGAGACATGAGATAGGAAGAAAAGGGCTTATGCTGAGCTTTCTTGATGGTAAGTTGGAGGTGCTCATTAGGTAAATAAACTTTTGGTGCCAAGAGCAGATGGAACTGCGAATTATCAGTCATCCCTGAGAATAAAGAGCCTGTCTGAGATGTATGTGTAATATAAAATAAACTAGACCCTGGACACTAATTTATAAAGTAATGTATAGGATGTCTTTGTTTAAGATAGACTGGCTAGAGGGAGAGGAAAAAATACGATGAAAGCACTAGAGAGAATATTATGAGCGGTATTAAGTAATGACTAAAAGAATTCATTGGATTTTGTAATTTGGAACCAACTAGACAGGAAATGCTGTTTTCAGACTGTAGAAAGTATAAGAAAAACTGGGTAAAAAGCAAAGATCTAATTTATAAAGTATAATTAAGTTTCTTAAAAAAGTTTTGTAAGAAGTTATTTAAATTCTGGATAGAAAAATTTAGTTAAAAAATGCAGCAATTTACTTATTTAGTTTTGGTAAGAATAGAGAGATGAATGAGGGAGGGGGCTACAGCTGGGATACAAAGTGAATAAACTGTAATTAATATAAAAATAAAAACATATCTGGGGTGCTTAATAAATATTATAAAAAGAAAAAAAATAAAGAGATGAGGTGTAAGAATTACCAAAGGTCAAAGACTTCAATACCCTTTATATTCTGATTTTATTTTATGGTTGTTTATTTTTGAGATAGGTCTCAGGCTACAGCTCATGCTGGCCTAAAACTCACAGCAATCTTCCTGCCTTAAGTCTCTTGAGGTATGAGCCACCACACCCACCTCAATCCCATTTTAAAGTATGTAAATTTGTAATCTATTTTCAATTTAGATTACCAAGACATAAAAGTTACTTTAAGAAAAGGATGTATAATTTAAAACACACATATCCCCTAATTATTTTTGCAACTTAAATAGTAAAATGACAGCTGTTTTTCCTTGTAGTGCTGGGTATTATGAATCCAGGGCCATGCACATGTTCTTGCAAGCACTCTAGCACTGAGCTGTGCACTCCCCAGCACTCCGAACTCTTTAAGAAAGACAAATGCAGCATTATTAACATTTCTGACAAAGAATCACCTACCCTTGGTCCTCTTCCTTTAATTTTCCTGCCAGATCTAGTAACTAAGAATCGTCGCTGGTATGAAGCAGGCTGGGAGTTAGGTGGATTACTAGAAGCAAGCAAAGGGAAAGTTTAGACATATTTCTTTTATAAAGAGGAATCTTGAAACTATAGTTTTACTGATCTAACTGAATAAATTTAAATTTCTTTACATAACTCAAAAGTTTTTAACCCAAAATGCTATCAGATCTTAGTAGGCACTACTCCTCATACTGTACCACCACGAATATGACTGACTGTGGAAAGAAATACTGATTAGTAAGGTGAAGCTAGTTTGATAATGCTAAGGAAACCAAATATAATACAGCCCAGAGGGGCTTCAAAAGAGAGGAAAACCAAGACTATCTAATTCTCCTGTGAGCAGCTGTGCATTAGTAACACAACTATGGAGAAATTAAGCAATGTAAACTAGGCAGAGACAAGCAGGTCTGAATTAACCAAATACTACTCTTTATATATGTGATTGAAATATGAAACTTAAAATTATACATAAAATTAGCTCATTAATAACATATGTGTTAAGTGATACTTGAAAAGCTGGACTTTTAGTAGTTCAAATAGTTTTTAATCTCTGTATCCTTAAAAACATTCTCTTTTAAACTACTGGACAAATAAACTCAATGAATCAAAATTATTCCAATTTCAAAGTTCTTATTTTTATTTTTGCATACTATGAAAAGCATGGCATATTTCTGTAGTACCATGCTTAGAAATTTTTTAATTTTGCAATTGTATTTCTCATGACTAAGATTTCAATTTCTTTTTAACTTTTACACATCATTATTTAAATGACTCATAAAAAATTGGTAACATTAATAGACTTATAAAGAAAAATACTCAAAGTAACTGAACATCCTAAATTTTGTTACAGTATAAAGTCAGTTTAGAAAAACAAGACTTTCTTTCCCTTTATACAAATTTATAACATAAGGTTCATGTTTCTTCTTTGGTGTGTGTGTTCGTGAATGCATGTGTAAGTGCAGGTGCACCTATTCGTGTGGGTAAGTCTGAAGTCAACCTTGGGTATCATTCCTTAGAAGCCTTTCAACTTGGTATTTTTAAACAGGATCTCTAATTGGCCTAGAGTTCACTGGGTAGTCTAAGCTCACTGGTAAGGAAAGCCGAAGGGTTCATCCATCTTTACCTCTCCAGAACTAGGACCACAAGCATGGCACTGCACCCAGCTTTTTTACAGAAGTTTCAGTGATGAAACTAAGGTTGTCAAGATTAGACAATTGTAGGAGCTGATTCTCTCCTTAAACCGTTAAGGGTCGAGGGACAATACATACATTCACGTATCAGTCTCTTTCTGGTTTTCCTTTCCTTTTCACTAGCTTCAGGAGGTCATTTACTCATTGAGAATCTATTCTCTGGAATAGGAGGGATTTTGTACTCATGTGTGTGTGTATATATATATATATATATATATATATATATATATATATATATATATACACATGTATATGTATATATATACATATACATACTGTCACATGCACACACTGCATATACCCATGTGTACACACATGCACAATCAAAAAATATCAAAATAAGTCACTTTAAAAATGTGAGCAACATACCAAAATATCATCTTGTTTACTCGCTTACCACTATTCTCAATATTAATGCCATTTGGAATGACACACATTACTTACATGACAGACCTTATTTTCTCAAAATCTGCTGATAACTGAATTTGTGTTTAGCAAAAAAGAAGCTTTCTAGCATCTTTTTTTTTTCTAATTAAAAGAGAATTTCATTGGAATAAGGTCACCAGTTTAATGTTCAAAAAGAAAACTTGTAATATGTAACAGTGCTATAAAATACACACATTCACATACCACTCTCTTTCTCTTTCTCTCTCTCTGTTCTTCCTTTCCTTGTCATCGGCTTTAGGAGGACTTTTTCTCATTAGGAATCTATTTTCAGGTATAGGAGGGATCTCTTCTGGGCGGACAGTAGACTGGGGCTGTGCATCAAGGTTTTCTGCTTCACTTTCACTAGATGGGCTTATAGGTAAAATCAAAGTATGTTACATTTGGCTCTTATGTACCTACCTAGAATTTCCAACTGTCAGCATTTCTTTTCTTTTTAAATTATAGTCAGTGAGTGCAAAAGTCCGCATGGCACAGTACACATGTGGAGGTCAGAGAACAACCTGCAGGAATCAGTTGTCCCTTTTCACCATCTGAGTCCGGGGTAAATTCAGGTCAACAGGTGTGGTACCTTTACACACTGACCCATCTCATCAGCCCAGCATTTCTTAATAGTATAAAAATATATATATCAACCTATTCTTTTCAAAGATGTGATCATGGCAAAATTTTCCTCATTCCCCCAACAAACCAACCAATCAATTCAACCAAACAAAAACCCACTTGTAATCAAACCCAAAAATACTTTTCTATAAGATACATCTCAAATATGAAACTATGTAGACAATATATTCTGGTAAGTTTAAAATACAGCATGGAGCTAGAGAGATAGCTCAGTGGTGAGAAGACCTGGCTGCTCTCCCAGACCACACAGGTTCAATAAACAGCACCCAAATGGCAGCTCACAACTACCTGCAATTCTTATTTCAGGGGTTCTGATGCTCTATTCTGACATCCATGGGCACAGCATGCAAACATTTATGCACGAAAATGTACAAAATACAAAGAAATTAGTTGCTTCTGAGGTAATAGGTATATGATGAAGTTTTAATATAAACATATTTTAAACAAAGCAGAAAATAGTGACTGAATCATCTGCTTTCAGTTCATACACTGCTCTTGGAGCAAAAGAGGTAACTGTTACAAAGGGATTAACTGTCGGTTTGTTGTAATTCAAATGTATTTCATAAATTTCTTCAAAGTAAAAAATTCAAATCTGGAGTGATGTTGTGCATCTACAATCATTGCTACTTGGGCGGATGTGGTTTAACAGTTTCCTCTGAGATTAAAATATTCCATGCTGCAGAAAGTTCCTTAAACAGGAAAGTAGCCAACTCAAACAGCTTCACGGAGTCCCTGAAACTAACAAGAAACGAGTACGCAGAGCTAAGCTGCGAAGAAGTCTCTCAGACAAGACAAACTGCAAAAGAAGATTCTCAGACCAGACCAACTGTCTAGAAAAAGCAGAAACTGATTGAGCTGTCTGAAAGAGGTTTAGATCAACTATGGCACGTGGAAAGGACACATGTTTTACCTGTTGAGCTGCCTGCAGGGTATGCAGTGGGCCTCAGGTCCCTAGCTTAGTGAGCTGTGACCTAAGTTTGGTGATGTGGCTATTGTTGAGCAATTTCTGTAAGAGAGCCCAATAAAAGTCACTGATTCACCAAGGGGGACTTTGGTGGCATCCATACTTTGGTGTGTGAAGCTTCCCTATCTGGAGTGAGTAGGCATGTGTGTTGCATCTCCCAGGAAAGGTTTTGTAACACAACAGAGGATGAGGCTGAATGATTATGAATTTGAGGTCAGCGTGGGAAATTGGGAATGCATCAATAAAAACAAAATTAAAAGCCCTATAACATAAAACCAAAAGCATCATTTCAATGTAGAGCATAAAATTAACTGAAAGCTTTTGTTGCATGATCTCATAAAACTCTTATAAAACCTCTTTCATAACTGATTAATAAACAACACTAATATTAAGACCTTTTCTTGCTTTTCTTTCGCTTCTTCTTCTCCTTCTTATGTTTTCGGGAGTTTTTTCTATGTTTCTTTTTCCTTTTTCTAGATTTTTCTTCTGAAGCGCTTTCTGAATCAGAAGAATCAGAGGAGGACTGAGAATCACTTGAGCTATCTGAATCACTGGATGATGATGAAGACGATGACTTATGCCTTTTCTTTTCTTCTTTCTTAACTTTAAAACAAAAAGATCACACTCAGTAATTTTCAGGCCAACCTATAAAGTAAAACTTAACCTTTTCTAAAGATTTTTTATTAAGTCCAGTATTAGATATTTTTGTTCATTCAGTCATCTCAACTCAAAGAGAGCACATCAGTCAGGACTCGAGAATTAGAATCCATACTTCCAGATTCATGAACAAAATTCTATTAAGACAAAGTACTTCTGAAAATAAGCAAATCCCAAATTATAAACCAAGTTAATTTTAAGAAACATCTGAATAGAAAAAAATTTAAGCACAGAGTAGCATCTAAGATTTTACAGCTTCTAGTGTTAGTTTTCTATTTCTTCTATTATCAAGATTGAAGGTAGAACCAGAAAAAAACATTGTGTCAACACAGGAAGGTTTATGGCACTGAGCTTAAACTTCCATGACTGAGTATTCCTCTAATGATCAGAAACACAAGCTTTAATTGAAGCAAAATCTCATAATCAGAAGTAATTTATCAAAAGTAACTATTTTTAAAAAAGTCTCTATCAAAAAAGTCTCAAGTTGAAATTTTGAGGTAAGGAATCATGTTTTTCTTTTCAGACAGGGTCTCACTTTATAGACCAGGCTGGCCTTAAACTCAAGAGATCCACCTACTTCTGTCTCCTGGAATTCTGGGATTAAAGGTATGCACCATTATACCGGGATAGGCAATCATTTTTTTAAGATTTGTTTTTTTATTTTATGAAACAGGACAGGAGCCTCTGAAAGGCTCTACCTAGCAGTGTATCAAAGCAGATATTGAGACTCATTACCAAACCTTGGGCAGAGTGCAAGCAATCATATGAAAGAAGGGGGAGTTAGTTAGACCTGGAGAGGACAGGAACACAACAAGGACCAAATATATCTGGGCACAGGGGTCTTTTCTGAGATTGATTCTCCAACCAAGGACCATGCATGGATATAACCTAGAACCCCTGCTCAGACATAGCCCATGGCAGCTCAGCATCCAAGTGAGTTTCCCTAGTAAAGGGAACAGGGACTGTTTCTGACATGAACTCAGAGGCAGGCTCTTTGGCCCCCGCGTCCCCTCCTACCTTGAGGGAGGAGCAGCCATGCTAGGCCACAGAGGAGGACATTGCAGCCAGTCCTGATGAGACCTGATAAACTAGGGTCAGATGGAAGGGGAGGAGGACCTCCCTCTCAGTGGACTTAAAGAGGGACAGGAAGGAGATGAGGGAGGGAGGATGGTATTGTGAAGAAATGAGAGATGGGGCTACAGCTGGGATACAAAGTAAATAACCCGTAATTAATATAAAAAGTAAAAATTATATATAAATAATTTATTTTTTTTTAATTTTATGAAGATGAGCGTTCTATCTGAATATACTCCAGCATGCCAGAAGAGGGCATCAGATCCCTGTGTAGATGGTTGTGAGCCACCATGTGATTGCTGGGAATTAAACTTTTTAAAAAGTCCCTTCTTGGGGAGGAGGACCTCCCCATCAGTGGACTAGGGAAGGGGCATCGGGGGAGAAGGAGAAGAAAGGTGGGAGCCACAGCCGGTATACAAATTGAGTAAATTATAATAAATGATAATAAAAAAGTCTTAAAAGTCCTTTCTTTTTCAAGTTCATCAATGTTATTTGAATAAAATTTAACTGATATGCCCTTTTCATACCAATCTTTTTTGGGGGGGGAAGAAGAGGGAGTTGGAGGGGATTGGTTGAGAAATGTCAGTTGAAGAACAGAAGAGTGATAAGGCAAAATAAAGAATGTTAAAACATCAATACTGTTCCAGTAGACAGTAGCTAAGTTTCTGATTCTGTGTTAACCAAAATTTAAAAATATGATTAAGGCGTATTATGAATAAAACTAAATGTAATCCTTAAAGTTTACTAATACATTTAAATGAACAGTACAGATATGTACTAAGGAAATGAAGATGATGTATTATAAGTATACTGAAAAGTACTAGAAGAAACTTAGATGTGAACTCTACCCTCACAGATCTTACACTCTCTTTAAGACAATAAGGTGAACAGCAAACAGCTATTATACTTCTATGACAGGTTCACAGACATTCTAACTGTAAAGTACATATGGATTTGGAAATTAAATTAGCTAATAAGAAGAAAAGTAAAGCAGAAAAGTTTGGGAGAGGTACAATCAGCTTTGCTGTAACACAACATACATGTTCCTATAAAGCACTGCATTAAGGGGCTGGAAAGATGGCTCAAAGGTTAAGAGCACTGGTTGCCCTTCCAAAGGTCCAGAGTTCAATTCCCAGCAACCACATGGGAACCATCTGTAATGAGATCTGGTGCCCTCTTTTGGCATGCAGGTGTACATCTAGGAAGAAAGCTGTATACCTAATAAATAAATCTAAAAAAAAAAAAAAGAAAAAAAAAAAAAGAAAAACACTACATTAAGTACAACTAAGAACAAAATAGCTTAGGTATGGTGGCACTTACCTGTAATTCTAGCACTTAAAAAAGCAGAGGCAGAATGAGAGGATAGGAAGATAACAAATTTGAGGTCAGGCTGACTGCAGAACTAGTTCTTATCTCAAAAAACAATCCTGGCACTTGGAAGGGCAGAGAAATGCAGATCTCTGAGCTCAAGGCCAGTGTGGTCTAGAGCAACTTCCAGGTCAGCTGGGGCTACACAGAGAAAACCTGCCTCAATAAACAAAATAAAAAACGGCCTACAAGAAAATATCAGGAGTACTCAAAACCTTCATTGGTGACATAGTAAAAAAAGAGAGGAAACAAAAAAAGCAGTGATTCAGTTTACTTAGACTAAATCACTAAGACGTAAAGACTAAGCTTAATGACACTGAAGTACCTGGAGTTTGCTCATGAACTTACTAGAAGTAGTACAACTTGCAACACACTTTTTGTATGTGGCTGTAAGGTATTCAGCCGAGTAAGGTTTCCTGCATTTACTCAGTGTGCAGACAAGATTATCCATAAGCAAAATTTTCTAATACATCAATTGGGCTGGAACAAATACATGTTTTCAAAACAAGCATTCTAAAGGATGTGACCTATGTTAGAATTTGAAGCAGATGGCGAGCAGGATGTGTTAAGCATACCTTTCATCTCAGCACTGGGGAGGCAGAGGCACATATATTTGAACACGTGCGCGCGCGTACTTCTCTGAATTACAGGATAGCCAGGGCTACATAGAGAGACTTTGTCTCACTTCTACCCGGCCCTCAAAAAAGAGGCTGAAGAAAGTAATGGAGAATAACTATTTGCAAAGCACATAAAACACTAAGCATTGTGTAAAGTTGTTTACAGGTATAATTTACTCACTGTATATTGTACTTATGATACACGGCTTCTGAAGAATCACAACAGAGGTTGTGCTCTAACACAGACACATAGGTGCAGGAATACAAGCACACACAACACACACAAAATACACCTAAACCTACAAACTCACACTTTACTAAGAATTCTATGCCAGTGATTTAGAATCTGTTTATTTGAGCAAGAATTCCCTAAAACATGTACTCGTTCTTACCTTTAGATTTTGGAACCAGCTCTCCACAACTGAGTATCCGTACTTCAGCAAATGGTTTGCTAGCAGCATCTGTTTTCTGGTTTTCAATCTCTCTCACAACTTCCTGACCAGAGATCACTTGCCCAAAAACAACATGATGCCTAAAGTGTCAAGTAAAGATGACTAAATAAAAGCTTCTTACTTTAATAGCAACAAAATAAAGTATGCTGTAGGACATTAAAATAAACTTTACCCATCTAAATGAGGAGTTGGTTTTGTTGTTCTTTTGGAAGTCACCAAGTAAAAGAAAAAAAAAAAAGAGGAAAACAAAAGTTAGCATCTCAAAAAAAAAGTGCATTGAAAACAAGAAACCACCTGCCACCCTCACACAGCAGAACCTCACTATGAGTGCAAAGGGTTTTCCATACAATTAAAAAACTGAGCTTGTTCTGAATATAAAAGCAATATTTACTGTTGAAGACCTGTGTGTAGCTGACATTTAGTGTTTCCACTTGGAACTGGATTTTTATTAAATATTCCTGGCTGTATGATGTTCTATTATATTGACATTACCAAATGTAACCAAATCATTCTACTGGCCTATGGGTTTAACAATAGTGCTTTCACTCTATCATTTTAAACAGTTAAAGTAGAGGGTATTAGAGGAATTGAGAGAGGTGGGAACAGTCATAGTCTGATGGCCCTGAGATATACTTATTGAACCTGAATAAAAACAATCCACTTAGTTTCATTTCATATATTTTAAAAATTAACTGGCAACATTTAATTGTAGGTACTTCTGCATGAAAATACAAGTCCTAGACATCCCTGAAATAGCTGAAAATTATGGTACATGGAATATACCATATTATAAATGGAAGCAAAATTATAGCACATGGAGTAAGTGAAGAGTACTCAGTGTTCCTGTTTTCCTAAACACAGGTATTAATAGCTGATGCTCCATGTTCCAACAGGCTTACTTATGTTACTCCCCCTTACTAGGCTTTTGAGCTTTTTATCTGTGATACAAAGTAAAATTTTGTGTTGAAGAAGAGTTGAATTAAACTGGGTCAATTCCAAATAAGAGTATAACGGTACATGTACTGGGGAAGCTAAAATGGAGAATAGCTTGAACCCAGAAGTTCAAGTAGCCTAGACAAAAGACTCTTTCAAACCAAACTCACATGAACCTAAAGTAAGTTCTTTTTGTTTTACACACACACACACACTTTTCCCCAAGCAACCCTTCTCCTTCTTTTACTCCTAAGGTCAATCTAAAAACTATGTAGTTGTAATCCTGGTACTTGGTTATGTAAAGATATATTGGTACATAGACTCTCATAGCTAGATAAAGTGCTTGATGTACAAGCATGAGTTTGATCCCTAGAAATCACATGGAAAGCGAGGTACCCAAGCTTTAAGTGGATGGTACCCAAGGTGGATGGATTCCTGAATTTGTCCCTGACAGTGTAAATGCCTTTAAACCACCCATCTTATGTTCTTAGCAAGCTCTATCTGAGACATTTAGTAACTCCCCCTCAGTAATTCTTTGTTTCACCTCTCATAATTTTACAATCCTTTTCTTATAAAGGGGGATGGGGAACGTTAGAAGGGATATTTTAGACCTTAAATACATACATGAAGAACTGAGAGCCATTTGTATCCTTCCCTCTATTGGCCATTGATAAGAGAAATTCTTTGTTGTGTTTAACAGCAAAACTCTCATCTGTATAAAGAAAAGACAGTTTTTCAGTTATGTTAGAGGCATAGGCTGAAGAGAGGACGCAGTGGTTAAGAGTCTTGCTGTGAAAACATGAGGATCTGACTTCAGATCCCAGGACACAAATAGAAAACCAGGCTGACTCCTGCACACTTGTAACTTCAATGCTATGGTGGCAGGACTAGAACTGCTGGAGCTTGCTGACAGCTTAGCCTGAGGTTCAGTGACAGACCCTGTCTCAAAGGAGTAAGGCAAAGTAACAGAGCACCTGATGTCTTCCTCTAGTCCGTCTACATTCACATGTACACATACTTCACACTCACAACAGCTCATTTTCCACTCCTGTTCATAATGGAAATGTTCCTGTTGGTCTGAGACAGGGTCTTGCCATTTAAGCCAAGCTGGCCTGCAAATCCTTCCTCAGCCTCCCCAGTGCTGGTATTACAGGTGCTACCATGCCTGACTAGATGTGCTCTTTACTGTCAAATACAACACAAACGACAAAGCCAGGTTCACGGACCAATTTTTTTCCCCTGTCACTTTAGATTTAACACTACTTTTTCCTCCTTGATGTGAAGGATTAAACTCAGAGACCCATGCACACTAATCAAGCATTCTTTTACTGAGTCTAAAACACTTAAAAACTCCATGCCTTGCTTGCCTACCATGCACAAGCCCTGGATTTGATCCTAGCACTATACTGTAAGAGTCCAGATATAATTTCTTTGTATTTTCATTTCATTGGTGAAGACATATAAAAACATCATAGTCTAGACCCCAACTTAACCTCAACCATAGCGTTATTCAGTTAAATGGACAGCACTTTTCTTCCAATCTTTGATTAGAGTATGAGAAAAAAGTATACAAAATTGGAGCCTGAATACCTCCTGAATACCAAAAATGAAATACGAAAACCATTATTTCTATATTCATATGCTTATAATTGTATGAAAACTCAAGTTCCAGACCAATTGTAATTTATAATGAAATGAGTAATACAAAAAATCTATAAATTTAACAACGTAAAAAACCTTACCTTCAAAGAATCCTCCATAAATAGATTCTCCTCCTCTTCCATTCCCTAGAAATGAAAACCATCACTCTTAGAACTCAGGACAGTAAACTCACACACTTCTCATTAAGTAGGTACTCAAATGATTATGAATCGGTAAAACTCAAAGGAACACAACAAATTATAAGACAGCAATATAATTTCAAAACAACAAAATTCCTTCCTTTCTCCTATGATACCACAGTAAGAATGTGACTAGACCATTAAATAAAAAGGACAAGTGAATAAAGGTATCTGCCACCCAACCTGATAGCCAGGTCTCAATTCCTGGGACCCACATGGCAAAAGGAGAAACTGCAAACTGTTTCCTAATCACCACACACCAGGGTGCACCAACAGGCATAAAAAAATAAATGTAAAAAAAAAAAAGACTTATGGGGAAAAGATCTGTCAGATGAATATCCAAGTCTCCCCCAACCCCCTTTTTCAAGACAGGTTTCTCTATGTAGCCTTGGCTGTCCTGGACTCACTTTATAGACTGGGCTGGCTTCACAGTCACAGTGATCTGCCTGCCTCTGCCTCCCCTTATGCTGCAATTACAGGCATGTGCCCCCGCACCTGCTACAAGTCTCTTAACAGGAATTAATAACATTTTTTCAAAGTGTCTTTTAAAAAATAGTTTGTATATTTTTACAAAAAGAAATATAAAACAGAAAAACTATGGAAAAAGTACTTACTTCCAGTTTGTACAAAAATCAAATCCATTAGAGACAATAATGTTTTGTTTTGTATCCAGAAGCAAATCTGTAAAATTATTCAAAGACACAACTGGCCCTGAGTTAGAGCCGAGTTCCATCTAAATGTTATGTACAAGGCCCTGGCTAATTCACCAAAGATGTCAATGGAGTAAGAAGAAAACCAGATTAAAACTTCCTTTATGGAGCTGAAAATATGGCTCTACACTTAAGAGCACATACTGCTCTCATAGAGTCAGGAGGCTCACAACAGTCTATAACTTCAGCTCTGGGGGGGGGGATCTGATACCTTTGGGCCTCTTAAGGCACTTGACCTTAGGTACACATACCACACAAATAAACATAGCTAAAAACTAATAAAGAAGTCATAAAAAAAAATTCTTTATGGGTGGCAAGATGGCTTAGTTGGAAAAGGGCAATTGCTTCCAAGTATGACAATGTGAGTTCGATCCTTAAAACACAGTGAAGAGGACTGTTTTAAGTTGTCCTCTGATCTCTGCTTCCTTGTTCAACACACACACACACACACACCAAAACCTTCATGTTTACCAAAAAAATACATATTTTCTTTTATGGGCCTCAAACCTCACCTTCACTGAAGTCACCACCCTGAACCATGAAATCCTTGACAACTCTGTGAAAGAGACAGCTCTTATAATGTAATGGCTTCTGAGTTGATTTCCCAGTCCCCTTTTCACCTGGAGAAAGAAACATTCATAGATCAACGAAAAGACTGTAAGCATTATTAAAGCCCATATTTTTCTAGAGAACAAAGAAATCAATCTCAGATAAAATCTTATTAGACTAGTATTTACTTTTTAATTAATTAATTTACATTTTTTTGGACTCAAGTCTAGCTTTGCACTCATAATCCTCATCTCCACTTCCCAAGGGCTGGGATTATAGGAGTACAATCACACATCACATGTAGCCCAGATTGGTATTGAATTCATGCTCTTGCCTCCGCCTGAGTTTTGACATTCTTCACCCCAATGCAGGGCCCACAACTAGTATTTCTAGGAATTATTAGGGCAACTGAAAATGAAAACAAACCTGTACAAAGACAACGAAAGTTCTCACATGTCTTGGGACATACATCGGAAAATAATTCAAAGACAACTCTTCCAGCTGAAAAAGAAGGTAACCGGTTTAAATTTCTGGATTACAATTTAAAATACTAGCATAAAAATGTTAATTAGAAACATTAATATTCTTACCAGGTTGATTATTAATGGCAATGTCAAAAAAACATCGAGGACGTTGGACCTTTATTCCCATGGTTCCTATAGCTCAATCTGTAAGTGTATACAATAATTTTAGGCAAGTCAATTTAAATGGCAAAGATTTTCCATTCTCTAAAAGTCAAGTCTACTGCACATAAACTACAAATGCTGTTTGAATTTATTTTACATTTATTTCCATGAGGTAACTCATGATTTTTGGAGATTTGACTGCACTTTGAGGAAAACAGAAGACTTTAAAGAGTGCGACGTAGTAATTACTGGGTAGGAATTATGCTAATCTTCTCTATTATTCCAATTTTAGTAAATATACTTCTGAAGAGAGTACAGACATTATCATATAATGAATTTCTATTTTATCAATCCAAACCAGATTGCCACCCCATATAGAAAACTGTATTAACTCTGTGTGACCAGAGAACAGAACATGCACATTACCTTTAAGGAGGGAAACAAACAATAAAATACAAAAACCCACCAAGGACAACTGAGCCAATCCTTTTGCTCCTAGGAAACAAAAATGAGAGCTCTGATTAAAATGTGAGATATTAAAAATACTCAAAATCATCTATGAAGAAAAGGAAGAGGTTTTAGCTTCTAAGGCAAAGTCTCACTATGTATCTCTGGCTAACTTTGTACTCATCAGACTGGCCTAAAATTTGTGGCAATCATCCTGCCTCAGGCTCCTGCATGCTGGATGACAGGTGTGTATCACTACACCTGACTTGAAAGGGAAGTATTTTAATGACACTAATATAAGGTAGATATAATTCTGATTAAAAGCACATTAAATTTTACATATAAGGCTACTTCTGGTCATGAGCAACAAACAGCCTATGACAGGCACATACTAATGTGTGAAATATTATGTAGATAGCTTTATCTACACAGCAGGTTCCTTTTACTTGACATTCTTTTTGGAAACCATTTATTTTAAGGACTTAAAATAGTCAATTATAATTGATCATTATAATTATAATGATACAGTAAGGCAAAGAGCCAATGAAACAAAGCCAGCAAGTACTGAATAACAGCCAAATTAACAGACTACAAAAATGACCATTTCATCTGCTCAGAAGAGACTGAAATATGCTTTTATTTAATTACCACACCTAGATTACTAAGGTGCCTTAACAAACAGCCTATGATATGTTAGGGTAAGCAACACCCTGAAAGGTCTACAGTCTTTACTCTGAAACAATTCTTCGGTTTGTCTTTTTTTGTTGGGGGGGGAGGGGTTTGCTATGTTCTACCACTGAGTTATACACCCTTGCACACCTTAGCTAAAATTTTAATTGGGACAATTACAGATTCATATCCAGTTACAGAATATAACCCAAGGATGAGCATGGTATAGTGGTGCACCCCTTCAGTCTAAACACCAGGGGGCTAAAACCAGGGTTAAAAAAAAAAAATGAAATTCTGTCTTAAAAAACAAAACAACAAAGAAAACCCTACCATGCCCATGCCTTTAATCCCAGCTCTTGGGAGGCAAAGGCATATGGATCTCTGTGAGTTCATGGCTATCCTAGTTTATCTAAAAGAGAGTTACAGGACACCCAGAGCTATGTAAAAGAGAAACCCTGTCTTAAAAGAAGACAAACAAAAAAAACCTAATAAACAATGGTCACACAAAAGATGGCTTATACACCATGACTCTAAAGTTACTAAATGGGATCAACGAGATGGTACAGCAGCTAAGCACTTAGCTGCTCTTCAAGAGAACTGAAGTTTGAATCCCAGCACCCATTCGGTGGCTCACAACCACCTGTAACACCAGTTCCAGGGGATCTAGTGCCCTCTTGTAACCTTTACAAAAAGTGAACACACATACATGCAGGCAAAACACCCACACACATAAAATAATGATTTTAAAAATAAGTAAAATTACTAAGACGCTATAACTAATCATTACTAGACATAACAATTACTAGACATAACAATTACTAGTCAAACAGGATGTTTCCTCTGTATTGACTCTCAAATATTACTTAATAATATCTAAAATCTGAAATAGTAAGACAAATATCTACTCAGTTTCTCATTTTTTTCTAAGAAAAGGGAAATTAATATGATTATAGTAAATAAAGAAAATTTAATTCAAAGAAAAACTAGCCCATAAAACTTTCAAAAAAATAGTTATTCACTCCTTTCCAGTAATCTGTCTAAAATCAGCCTGGACTAGAAAGAGCCATTTCAGGAGGGGAAAAAATTAGTCACCAATTGTCTCAGAATATAATAAAATATTTTGGGGTTAATTACCCATGAATATTTGTCTGCCACAAATTTATTTAGCCTAAATGAGTTATAGCTAGTATCATAAAACCTAGATTTAAATTTTTCTGAAAAATAATTACCCATTTTTGTACAGCAATCAGCATGTACTACTCCCATTAAATAAAATGCATGTTCTAGTCTGTTGTTTCCAGTACTGCTTATATACTGTAACCATTTATCATCAACTTCATGTTATAAACTTACTTCACCTATCTGACTTCCTCAGAAATGAGTGACACTGAATTTTTTTCATATTAGAAATACTTTTTTTTGAGACATGGTCTTTCAATGTTGTTCAGGAAGAACTTCAACTGTCAATCCCCTGTCCGCCTCCTGAGTACTGTGATTACAAGAGTGCATCATCATGTTTGTCATGAAAATACTTTTAAAATAAGAGTTAAGAAACTCACACAAAAAAACCCGTTACACAAATATATGCAAAATCCTAACAACTATGACGTTTACCATTTGTATTACAGTCTACTTTCTATGCAAATGATTAAAATCTTGTTCTGAGGGTTGGAGAGATGGCTCAGCAGTTAAGAGCACTGACTGCTCTTCCAGAGGACCTGGGTTCCATTCCCAGCACCCACATGACAGCTCACAACTGTTTGTAACTCCAGGATCCAACACCCTCACACAGACATATAGACAAAACAGTTAAGAAAGAAAAAAGTTCAAGATGCCAGGAGTAAGTATATAGCAACTAATTATTAAATGGAGTATTTGTAATTAGGTAAAAAATAGATAATATATGTAATGACTTTATCACAGTCAAAGAGCACTATGAGTCTCAACTCTTAATGGAATAGACAGTGAATTCTTTAAAATGATTAAGATGACAACCAACTCTTTCCCTCTTGGCTCCTTCTGATTCCTCTGGCTACCTGTCCCTTAAGATTCAGTTCTGGCCTACCAGGTGCAGTGACACCTGTAACCCCAGCGCTCAGGAGGCAGAGGCAGGTGAATCTCTGTGCATTCAAGGCCAACCTGGTCTACAAAGCAAGTCCAGGACGGATAAGGCTACACAGAGAAACCCTGTCTTGAAAAACCAAACAACAACAACAAAAAAGATTCAGTTCAGCCTCAGTTTCCTGGAAACTTCACTCTCACTAGCTAAATGGTCCTCCCTTGGTGAAAATTATAAACTTGTCTATAAATTCCACCAACTCAAAATCTTTCTGGCTTTTTGGGTTGTTTTTACAAAGACGGCCACAGTTGTCAAAGATGGCACTAAACACACCCTGTGGCCCAAGCCTCCTGCCTCAGTTTTTCAAGTACTGGAAATTATAGGCCTGCGCTGTCCTTGTCTTCTACAGAGAGCACAGTGCCTGGCCCAGGGACTTCATCATCAAATAGAAAACAATGCTGGTTATTGTTCTGTTGCTGGGTTTCATTTTTATTCTTTGTTTTCATTTTTTTTAAAGATAGTTTTATGTAACCTGGGCTGGTAGCTAACTTACTATGTAGCTTGAAAATGACATTAAACTCCTGATCCTCGTGTCTGGGTTGACAAGTGTATACCAAAACACCCAGACAGAACTTGTGTTTTCTATTATAACTTGTGCTGTTTTATCCCGTTATGTACGCAGCTCACAGGAGGTATTGCCATTAACTCTCCCACAGTCTACCAGCAGTCATCCCTACAGTCTACACCACTCATGACACTGAGTCCATTCTCTACATCTTCCCACTGAAATGTTCTCTATTAAAGTTCGTTGCTGTTGCTGTTGTTTCCCTAATTTCTTTTTTTGGTTTCATTTTTTCAGCTGAAGACTTACCTAGATAGTAGGAAATACAACATGTTCTTATCAGCTAGGCATTAAAAAAATCAGCATTTTGTTGTTGTTTTGAGACAGAGTCTTAATGCAGTCTTTTAATGGGAGTCCTGGAAGGTGGGGCAGCCTAAAGCCCAGAGATGCACATACCTCTCCTGGATTAAAGGAGTCCAATAGCACACCTGGCATCTGGTAGGTTTGTTGACAAGTAATGCTTTTCATATAGGACTCAGGTAAGTTAAATTAATTAAAACCATACTAGATCTTTAAAAGTATGTTTTTTAAGCTGACACACACCTGTAATCCCTTCGCTCTGGGAGGCAGAGGCAGGTGGATCTTTTTGAGTTCAAGGTCGGGTCAGCCTGATCTGCAGAGCGACTTCCAGGATAGCCAAGGCTAGACAGAGAGAAACCCTGTCTCAAAAAAAGAAAAAACAAACAAAAACCCCCACAAAGCTACATTTTTTTTATATATGTACTATGCTTTTTTTGAATTATGATTCTTCATAAAAAGAAAAATTATACTAGTCTTTGTTGTTATTTTGTTTTCAAAGACAATATAGAATTGTGGAAATGTAAACATTCCTTATTACCAATAAAAGGAACCTAACATGTTCTGTAAGCCCTTAATTGTATAAAACAATTTTATTTTTTAAGTACACTCAACTGCCATCTCCTTTCTTTGACACTCTAAAAGTGAAGTATATTAAGTATGAAATGGTACATGAAAATAAGTCATTCATAGAAAAAATTCTGAATGTAATTATCTACAAATTTTTCGTGTTTTCCAAGTTAAAATAACTTTTACAAATGGCTTCACTAAAAAAATTGAAGAATTTTTTTTTTTTTTTACCTGCAGCACCTTCAGAAAAGATTGTCTTATTCATCTACAGTATATTAATTATGGTATTTGTGAAAAATATGTACAGGGACTGGTTAAGTTGACTCAGCCATTAAGGGAAGTTGTTGCTCTCACAGAGGACCAGATTCAATTCCCAGCACCCACATGGTGGTTCACATTCATCCACAACCCCAATCCTAGGAAAAACAACATACTCTTTTGACCTCTGAGGGCACTTGGCACATATGTGGTACACATATATACCTGTAGACAAACCACTCAATGTGTACATGAAATTCTATAAAAGAATGTACATATAAGCCAATATTCTAACTGACTAATTCTACATTGGTAAGAGTTTTCAGAAACACTGACATCTAAAAATACAAGTACTATTGTTTTGTGTTTTCCACAGAACTTTGCAATTTTTATTACATTTATTTATTTAGTGGGGAGAGGGCACATGCCACGCATATGTGTGTAGGTTAAAGGAGTTGGTTTTCTCCTTCTACTCTGTGGGTTTCAGGGATAGAATCCAGGTCCTCAGACTTGGTGGTGAGCACTTTTACCTGCTGAGCCATTTTTCAACCTTCTATATTACTTCTAAGATTACTTCCAAGGAGGACTGACTATGCTTTGAATACAAAAAGGGAACCTGTTACACTTGGATAATATTTTTTAAAATTGTAATTTAGGCTGGGCGGTAGCGGTACACTCCTTTAATCCCAGCACTAAAAAAGTACGGCAGAAGGGTCTCTATGAGCTTAAGGCCAGCTCGGGAGGTCTACAGAGTGATTCCAGGCCAGCAAGGCTACACATAAAGAAATCCTAAATTAAATTCAAATTAAACCCTAAATTAAATTAGAATTTTTTGAGAATTCCATACATGAGTATATTAAATAATTTCTACTCTCTCCCTCCCGTGTCCTCCCAAAATTCCTCTCAAATTTATGACCTCTGTATTATTGTTACACACACTTACACACACACACACACACACATATTCTGCCCCTCTTCCTCTAGGGTCAGGTTTCCTGAAATTTCCCCATCCACACTGGCATGTCAACTGGTTTTGTCTTTATGCAGGTCTTGCATAAACAACTTCCGGAGATTTTTTTGCATTTATCTTTCCCGTCAGGTCTAATAGACACTATCTTTAGGTTTAGATTTAACTGTCCCCCAAAGGTCATGTGTTATTTGGTTGCCAGCCTTTGGCACTACTGGCTCTTTTAAGAAATGGGGATTAACTAAATGAAATTGGGTCACTGGAGGTGAGTTCTTCCAAGGTAGTATTGGACAGCCCTCTCCCTCCATCCTCTGCTTCCTGGACTCCACAAGGAAGACATTTTGCCCTGACCTGTGCTCCCCACCACGTAATGCTGTCACAGGCTCAAAAGCAATAGGCCAACCATAAACTGAGACCTTCAAAACTGGGCAAAAATATATACCTCTTTAAAAAAAAAAAAAAAAAATTACCTGCAAGGGAAGCACTTTAACATTCAAACTAGCATTTTTAACCCACTCTTGAAGTATTTACATGGATCAAGAGATGAAAATTAACTATTCCAAAACATTTGCATACAGTTACAAAGGAGTACACTGCTGATGAATTAAGCCAAACAAGGCAATATTTGAGCTGTCAGGAGAGACCTTCTCTTTAATGTTTCTGGTACACACAAAGCACTGGGCTGGTGGAAACCCAACACCTAACAGGCATTCTGAAAATCAGGGGCTGGTTTGTAGCCCAGTGATCCAGCACCTGCCTCACAGTTGTGAGGTCTTGGATCCACACACAAAGTGGAGAGCAAAGGACAGGAACATAGATAGCTCAGTGGTAGAGTATTTGCTCTAACTGACACTAATCTAACATAAAACAGAAACTTTTCCCTATCAGTAACACACAAAGTTCCAATTATAGAAGTTTTCTCTGAATATTTAAAGTGCTGCCTGCAAATCTCAAGGTCCAAATTTTGGTCTACAAGAATAAAAATACAATTTTGTCAAAGACACACATACATCTCAATCTACCTAGAGAGCAAACACAACAATCCAATCAATTCTTGTTAAGCAATTAACTCATTTAAAACAAAGAGGAATGTAAACTCTTACATGAATAATTACACTCCACATTATTAAAATTAAATAGTGGGAGCCCTCAGTCCCTAAGAAAGGGTTTTTGTTTATCTGAGATAAGAGTAAAGTCGTTCAGACTGGCCTTGATCTGTAGTGACCTTTTCTCCTCAGCCTCTTGAGTGCTGTGGTTACAGACACTGGGACACCGTACTGGAAGATATACTTTTAGGTATGTTAAAAAAAAAAAAAATTAAAGAAGCAGCCATTCTAAGTATTTGTGCAATTTCTGGGCTTTATCACAATCTTTTAAAACTTACAAAAATGAGCCGGGTGGCGCACGCCTTTGATCCCAGCAGAGGCAGGCGGATCTCTGTTCGAGGCTGGGCTGGTTTACAAAGAGAGTTCCAAGACAGCCAGGGCTATACAGAGAAACCCTGTCTCAGAAAAAAAAAAAAAAAAAAAAGAGGAAAAAACTTATAAAATACTGGCACCTCCCAGTAACTGTTACAAAATAGCAATTACTAGTCCTCATTATATATACACAATGAGGGTGACATGGACACAAACATATTTTACCCTTTCTGGTTTTAGCTTCTGAACCCTAATACCGAATCTCCAAATTTCCAAAACATTCTATTATTTCTTAAATGTATTGGTGTTCAAAATCAAACAACAAAAAAAGATTGTTGTAGTGTACGGAACGTACTAGTGCTAAGAAATCAAACTGAGTGCACAAGGTGGTGCTTTCCTAAGGTTTTCTAAAAGGATTAGACGCCGTTGCCGGCTAAGGCTGCCGGTGCTCGACATCAGAGTAAATCCGGAAGAAATAAGTACGCTTCTCCTAAAGGCGAACGGGGTTCAGAAACCGTCTTCTCCTAAACAGTCCTCCTTCCCAAAGGCCTGGCCTCTTCCAGTCGCTCAGGAACGTGGGAAAACTTCCACAGAGCTAAGGTTAAGAGCTCGCATTTGAGTTTTAAGAGGACCCTTAACATCAAGGGCCTGGGTCGCTAAAGCATGCACGACAGTGGCTGTCCTACCAGAGGAAAAGGTCGGACGAGGAGAGCTCGATGCCGATTTTACTCCCGGTGATCCTGGCTCTGCGCCCGTCCCTCCCCAACCCTAACCTGACAGGCCCTCGCACTGCGCCTCCCCCTTCCCCAACAAAACGTCCCACCTACCAAGCAGCAGCGCCCGGTCTCACGGTTTGGAAGCATTCAAAACGGACCTAGCTCCCGGGAGCCGAGGCCGCTGTCGCTGCCGCCATATTACAGCCTGTGCGGCAAAATGCGTCAGGGAGGAGGTGTGCGCCGCGCGGGGAGGGCGGGGGCTGGGGAGGAAGAGCGGCTTCCTGCGCCCCGGGGCTCGGTTGCAAGCTGCCCGGCCTCGCACGGGCCACAGGCCCCGCCGCGGTCCCCGGGGCCACCTCTCCGCGCCCGGGCAGCGCAGACGGCGCGACGGAAAGACGGTTACCTCGGCCCGGCCGCCCGCCGCGGCTCCGCCCCTCGCCCTGGGCCCTTCCCGCTCGCGTAGCCGGGGGCCGCAGCGAAGGACGCCGCGCCGGCAGACGCCTTCGCGCCCCCTCACCTGCACCGCCGCGCACTCCTCCTCTCCCGGCCCAGTCCTGTAAAGCGCTTCAAATCTACCGCCGTCTGGGAAGGCGCTAAAGCCCACTAACCGCCTCCCTCCCCCACAGCCCAGTCCAGGCGTGGAGGGAAAGGGTCGCGCCGGAAGTGCGTCAGGGGTGGGTTGACGGCGCCTCCCGGCGTCCCCTGACTTACGTCATCATCCTCTGCTGGAGAGGGTAGGGGCTTTCTGCGTTTTTTCAGTAGGTTCCCCTGACGGGTCGCATAACGTTTTCAGCGAGTTGATTGGATACGTGTGCATCCCGTCAGAAATGTCACAGCGCTCTCGAAATAAAGCACTTCGTTTTGTAAACGTAGGCATGGCCTGTCAGGGTATTTAAAATGACTTTTCTGCCTCCAAGGAACTTCCAATTTTCACCTTCAGCAAACGCTCGAAAACTAGTAACAAAAATGAGCTACTTCCGGGGCGTGGTACCGCACGCCTTTATTCCCAGTACTAAGCGATTTATATCTTCTTGAGATGTATAGAATAGTATAGTATAGTATAGTATAGTATAGTATAGTATAGAATAGTATATAGCCTTGGCTGGCCTGGAACTCTCTGTGTAGATCAGACTGACTTCAAACTCTTCAAACTCTTAAGGAGATTCACCTGCCCCGCCTCTAATCCGCAAATGCTGGGATTAAAGGGGTGCGCCACCATGCCTGGTTATCATATTGTATATATATATATATGATATATAGTATATAATATATATAATATATAGTATATTATATATATCATATCATATGTAGTATATCATATATCATATATATACACGTGTATGTCTGTATGCTTGTGTGTATATGCACCATATGTGTGTGGCTGTTTGCAGAGGTCAAAACAGGGTGTCAGAACACCATAAAACTTGAGTTAAAAGCAGTTACGGGACGCTCAATACGGGTGCTCCTTCAAGAGCCGCAAGAGCTTCTAATGGCTGAGCCATCTCGCCAGCGTTGGCCATGTGATTTAATTCTCGTTGATGAAACTGGAGACAAAGTGGCATGCTGGCTTAGTCCTTAAGGCATTATCTCTTTTTTTTCTTCACCTGCCGTCTGTAACCCAATGCAACAGATTCTAATTCTGCTAGGTCCAACAAGGACCTAGCAGACATTAGAATAACATGATGAAAGGCATTCAGATCACTGAATAACTACTTGGAACAGAGCTGCCTTTCATCAAGCCCATTCACCCAAGAGAACTATATCCTTTAAAGCCATATATCAGAACAGCAACAACAAAAAGGAAAAATTAAGTCTAGGATTCAGGACAGTGGTGGCACACGCCTTTAATCCCAGCACTTGGGGGGCAGACGCACTGGGATCCCTGAGCTTGAGGCCAGTATGGTCTACAGAGTGAGTTCCAGAGCATCCAGAACTACACAGAGCGTCTAGGTTACATATCCCATTAGAAGATAATTATTCATTTCATGTTATCCCATAACTGGGGAAGATGATGGAGGTCAACTTACTCTGAATAGTAAGTTTCAGGCCAGGTGGAACTACAAACACACACACACACACACACACACACAGAAAAGTAATTGTGTGTCAGGGTGTGGCAGCACATGCCTATAATTTCAGCACTAGGGAGTCTGAGGCAGGAGGATCACTGTAAGTTTAAGGTCACCCTGGTCCATATAGCAAATCCTATGTCAGTCAAGGCTACACAATAAGGCCTTGTTAGAGGTTTCAAGTGGTTGTTTCATTTACAATGCCTTTTTTGAGGTAAGATTTTGTAGCTTAATGTATATTCCTAAATTATAAATATAGATTAATACTGCAGAGGTGCTTTTCAAGATGGAGTTTCTTCGTGTAGCCCTGGCTGTCCTGGAACTGGAAACGTAGACAGGGCTGGCCTCAAACTCTTAGAGTATGCCTGCTTTTGTCTCCCAAGCCCTGGGGTTAAAGGTGTGCTTATGCTGCCACTACTACCTCCGCCTCCACCTCCATGCAATTAACACATTTTTTACTAAGCATAAAGATGTGATCTCTACTAGATTAGGACAGAGCAAGAGCAATATCAGAGTCCAGAAGCATCTTCCATAACCTCTCCTATTAATTCTACCCCCTCACCCGCTGCTGTGTGGAGAAACATTTCCTGGAAAGATGCAACACACACTTTTACTCACTCCAGATAGGGAACCCGTGACAGGCCAAAGTACAGATACCACCAAAGTCCAACTTGGAGAACCAGTGAGTTTTATTGGGGTTACTTACCAGAGCAGAAATTACTTGGTGACAGCTGTATCACCAAAGCCCACACCAGCATGATTACAGTTTACAAAGCTGGGAACATGGAGCACACCGTATAGCCTGCAGGCAGCTCACCAGGGGTCTCCAGTTGGCCTAAACCTCTTCCACGCCGCTTGGCTGGTTTGTGCATTTTCAAAGACAAGGCAGGCTTGGCTGAGAGTCTTCTTTGCAGCTCAACTTCCCTCACTAAGAGGGAATCTCAGCTTTTATTGCTTACTCTGGCAGCGAGGTGGCCTAGTGAACCTGATCAGTTTCAGGGACTTCCTGAAATAAACAACTTCCAGGGTTCTTTATTTTCTTGCTTAAGGAACTTCTTCGCAGAATGGATTGTTTGAGTTTTGAAACCATTACACAACTCTCCTAAATCAATAAAAGATAATCTCTGTTTAGCAATCCAGCACACACTATTTCTGCCTATTTTGAGCCTACTGTATATAAGAAAGCACATACTTTGCACATATATTGGAAATATTATTGATAAGTCTTAGGGTAATGCCTACATTCTACTTTGGTAGCTATTGCAAAAAGATTTTTTTGAAAATGATTATGCGGGGCTGGAGAGATGGCCTCACAGTTAAGAGCACTGATTACTCTTCTACAGGACCCAGGTTCAATTTCCAGCACCTACATGACAGCTCACAACTGCCTGTAACTCCAGTTCCAGGGGATCCAACACCCTCACAAGACATACATGCAGGTAAAACACCAATGCACATAAAAAAAAAAAGGTATTGTCGTGCACTCCTGTAATCCCAGTATCCGTGGAGGCAGAGAGGCCGGTGGATCTCTGTGAGTTCAAGGCCAGCCTGTTCTACAGAGCGAGTCCAGGACAGCCAAGGCTACGGCTACAAAGAGAAACCCTGTCTCAGAAAAGCTACAAAAAGAAAGAGAGAGAGAGAGAGGGAGGGAAAAGGGTAGGAGGGAGGGAGGAAAGGAAGAAGGAATGAAAGAAGGAAAAAGAAACAGATTATGCCAGTTTATACTCTAATAACCAAAACCTATCTTGAACAAGCCTAGGTAAAACAGGGAAAGTTTAGATAGGCAGGGTAGTATTCCCCTATCACTTTGACACTCAAAGAGGAGGACTGCAAGTTTGAGGCCAGTCTGAACTACATACACAGCAAGATCCTGTCTCACAAAAGGGAGGAGGTGTTGCCCGAGAAAGCCAAAGTGCTGCACATTGTGGTGGCTTGAAAATAGTCTACAAATCAGCCGGCCATGATGGCCCACTCCTTTAATCTCAGCACTGGGGAGGCAGAGACAGAGAACTCTGTGAGTTCGAGGCTAGCCTGGTCTACAGGAGCACGTTCCAGGACAGCCAGGGCTATACAGAGAAACCCTGTCTCGACAAAACAAAAGAAGAAAATATGTCACAAATTGTTTTATAGGATTTGCTTCTAGTGAGTAATATGAAGTGGAAGTAACTGTGTTTTTTCAGAGAGGAAGTCCTAAAAGGCCCTCTGATTTCAGTGTTTCTCTCTCGTGGGTCACACTCTGGGGGAAGTTAGCGGCCACATCCTAAAGACACTGGGGCAGAATCTGAAAAGGGCTCATGTGGTGAGACTTGGGCTTTCTGACAGAAGACAGGGGAAATGAGGCCTCTCGCCGAGAGCTAGGTTAAGGGAGCGCTCTTGGGAGGCAGAGTCTTCAGCCACTGTCCAAGGTTCAAATGACCGCAGTCAGGGAGAAACCACACTATGCTAACTTACTTGTGAGCCATCGAAACCAAGCATTACTAAATGTTGCTTTCAATCAATAAATGTCATGGTGATGTGTTACACAGGAAGGGGTAACCAATCCAAGGGAGAAGGCATACATTGACTATTAAGGAGATTTTATTTTGTCTGATGCTACTTGACTGTCTCTATTTGTCTTTATTTTCCATTCTGATTTCTCAGAGAAATGGTTCTTTATTTTAAGAAACAGCCTCTCCCAGCTCTGGTATAAAATTCCAGAGGGCAGCTTTGATTAGCATAGCTGTAGCAGGCTTAAAATTTGTACTCCCTTTAAATATGAAGGGGTGTTTTTAGATAATGCCTGTCCACGCTTTTTTATTTTTTTATTTTTTGAGAAAGGGTTTCTCTGCATAGTGTTGGCTGTCTTGGACTCAATTTATAGACCAGACTGGCCTCAGACTCAGTTCTGCCTCTGAACTTCCTGAGCACTGGGATTGCAGGGATGGACCACTGCACCGTCCAAGCGAATGCTTCTTATCAGGGGAAGGTAATCAGAAGCGGCGTGTTCAGGCAAGGTGTTTATGGTGGTCTCTGTACTATGGCTTACTCCATGTCTTTGCTATGCGTGCAGGCATGCGCAACGGCTATTCTGGGTTGTCAACTTGACTATATCTAGAATGAACTACAAACCAGGAATGGAGGGCATGCCTGTAAGAGAGTCTCTGCTTGGTTTGAAGCGGGCGAATCCACTTCTAGTCCGGGCTGTTGAGGTGGGAAGACACGTACCTTTGACCCGGATCTCAAGCCTGCAAGTCACAGCCCTTTAATTCAGATCCTGACGTGGGAAGATGCACCTTTAATATAGGCCATACCTTTCACTGGAAGTCTGTGTAGAGATACAGGTGAAGGAAGCTTTTGCTCTTTGCTTCCCCT